GGGGTAAAAGTCATGGGGGGTGCAGGGTGTTTAACTGATGTGTTGCATGCGTTAGTAGCGCAGCCTAAGGGAGATAAGCGGGTACTACGTACCCGCATCCCCAAAGAAAAAGAAAAGAAAAGCAACGAGTGGTTGCGTGCATGTGCAGCACGCATGCGTTGGTGCTACACTGTATTTTGACTTCGTTTCGTTTTTCGACAGATTTTGATTGGGCTTTTTTTGGGGGGGAGGTTGCACTGAAAGAGTGTGACTGAAAGGGGCGCTTTTGTTCAAAGTAACATTAGAGTTTTTGTTCTCGTCTTTGCTTTTTTTTCGCAAGATATCATGTGGTTGCGGGGGGTTTTTAATTTTCGCTCATCAGGTGGTTATGTTTGTACGCCGGATAGCGGGCTAGGCTGGTTAGCCTCGTACTGCTGTGTCCTGATGTGGCTGTGGTAAACTACTGGATTAACTTTGCCGCAAGTGTACCGGATTATTTTTTTTTCTTGGTGCACGAGAACGTTTGGTGCGAGGGATATGACGGTGACTGTTTGGTTGGAACTAAGATGGCAAATCGGCGTGCAACGGATGATGAAAGGACGGCGTGACAGGCTGCTTGTTCGCGGAAAAACGACGTAATTGCACATATTGAAACTTGTTTACTTCTTCGTATCCTAAGGCAGGAAGATGTGCAGGGGGGGTAAAAAGAATGTTGTTCTTTCGAGTTTCCATGCATCGATGGTGGCTTGAACAACGTTGAGTAGGGCTGAAGATGGGGGTGTGTGTCGTTTCGTTTTTTCTCATCTAGTCCCAGAAATAGAACCAAACAGTGGCTTTTTTTCCGAAACAAGCAATATAGCCCCACCCTATTCATGTATATAAAACATAGACAGCGAGCTGCAGAATGATCGAGCGACGACTGACCACTCTAGCTCAAGTGTACATTCAGGGGGATGGATTCTAAAGACGTCTTCCAACTGGCTTCAGCTTATCCAAGTCCGCAGACTGCACATCCCACCCATCAACCTGCCATCCGCTTTTGAAATACTGAGCAGCATCCTGAGAACCCTTGAGATTCCACAGTGCCCAGTCGAGCACAGCCTTGCCAAACATTCCACCGTTGGCTTGCCAAAGGTCGCCGCCGTGGCCGAGAGGCAGAATTCCCTTCTATTTGGGAGTACCAGCGGGAATATTTTTGAAGTCGCGTTCAGCCTGCAGATCAAAGTTTTAGCCAGTATTCGCAAAAAAAAATCTGAAAAAAAAGGATAATCTAAGCATGTAGGTTCTGAATAAGATCCTGGACACAATGGTAGTATATCGACATAGAAAAAAACTCACATTGGGCGTTGCTTGGTCCTTCGGGCCACCCATAACGAAAAGAACTGGCTTTTTCCATGTAGATGCTAGATACTGCTTATCCTCATCGGCAATGCCAGAGCTAACAATGCCGACAGTAGCAACTCGGTCGTCAGGGAAGTTATAAGCAGCCTCAAGCCCGCCGCATGAGAAGCCCGCTGTCATGAGCCTGCTTGCATCGACGTTTGTGTATTTGCCTTTTCCAGCGTGTTTATGAACCCAGTCAATAGCTGCCTTCATGGTCTTGTCATTGGATGGGCCTTGCATGCTCATGGCTGTGTCCCGCGTCGTGTTGGACGTGTCTGGTGCCATGATGCCCTCGGAGATGGCGAGGAACCCGTTCGCAGCTACATGCTTGAGAAAGACTTGGTTCGATGTGCCATCAATGTTACAGGCGCCGTTGCCCCATATTAGAACAGGGAATTTGCTCGAGTCAGCGACAGGAACGCCGGTCGGGAAGTAGATGGTGTGGTTCGGGAGGCTAGAGTCGATGTAGGGTACGATGTTGCTGTCGTTTTGCTATTGCAAACATTAGCTCGCCAGTTTTGCTGAAGAGAGTCTCTTCGTTGATGGGGAACGTACGGTGACTTCCAATTGAAGAGGCGACGAGGTAACGTTGCCAACAGAGACTGCCGCGAGGGCGAGGTTGACTATGTGCTTCATTCTTCAAGATAAAAAGAGAGCGACTGAACTACGATTCCAAAAAATGGCCAATATCATGATAACCTGAGTGACCGATGGAAACCTGAGGTGCATTAAATAATTTTTTTTCTAATTTATATAAGTTACCCGGTACTTCTTCTCCATCGTAGGCAGATTTCCTCATACAACCTAGATTAAAGATGACAAGGTTGATCGTGAGCTCATGAAGAGGTAAAGTTTCGTTAGTATGTTCGGTGCGTTGAAACATGTCAGCTTATTTATCCCATTGGAAACCAGAGGGTCAATGCTTCTTTATTCTCGGTCCTACTCTTGGGTGTTGGGATAATTGATCCGGCGGGGACGAAACACCGACTCCAGAACGTATCTACAGGCAATCCTAGTTGGCAACATGCACGACTACCCGCGAGCCATTCTTCCTATTAATCTGCCATATTTCCGTTTATCCGCCAAGGTTTATGTGCCTTCTCAAACTAACATGGCTCCTACTGCGCCCACTACTGCTCCGGTTAAAGCCCACTTTCCGTACCCCGTCTGATGTGCAGCAGCACCAGTAGCCTGGGAAGTTTCCGACGAACTTGTCGGCCTTGTACTGCTCGAAGAAGCGTCCGTAGTGCTGGATGTACTCTGAACACTCGCTGTGCTAGACTCTGATGATACGACTAGTGTAGTACTGACAACCATGCTGCTGACAACCGTAGTGCTTACAACCGCGCTGCTCACAGCCGTGGTGCTTGTTACAAACGTCGGCGTGTCAACAGCTATACTTGTTGGTATGCTGTCGGATGTTGGGAGCGAAGTAGCAATCGGGCTGTTGCTGACTGTGAATGGATCGCCCCATGTTGATATTGGTGCTGCTGATGGCGAGGCAATACTAGGGATGACGGCATCCGTCGAAGCAGGGTCTAGGGCTGAGGCTTCGACAGTGAAAGGTTCGCCCCAGGTGCTTGTCTGTGCGTAGGAGACTCTGAGGAGAGACAAGAGCATGGTCGTTATTAATGGTGACTGCTTCATCTTGTTTTTCAAGATAAATTGATGTATCCGGGTGTGATTTGGACCAGAAGGTATATGAGCTTTGTCGACCTTCCGGGTAGCCGCAGTAGTAATAAGGTCCTAAGCTTTTTTCTGTTTCCTTGGCGGACGGAATCGAATCTATGGTAAGTACCGACACTCGAATCTGATGTTCTACGAGGAAAAATCATAAACCGGTTCCTTCACGCTTTTAACACATCCTTTGCAAGGCTCTCCTCGGCATCCCTGCTCAGCTCATTCTCCGAGATCATCTTGTCGGGCTTACGCTTTACGTCTTTTCTGCTTCCAAGGCAGAAATTTGTGGCGTTTCTTTGTATCGAAGCAGCCTAGTTTTACATCGGTGGTGGCTTGATGTGCTGGCGTGATGGCACGTGATTGGTGAGCCTGCGCAAATCTCGGGTCTCCGCATTGCGCATATGCGAGACAACGGGCAAAACAGAACACCGCATCGCCGTTTATGTCGGCATTCTCCACGGAGATTTCGCAGGACGCGTGGCAGTTAATGGTAGCATATAGAATGGTCGCTATTCAAAGGACGCGTGGTGTCCAAGGGAGAAGGGGGGATATGAGCAACGCAGCATTCTCCGGTGAATGAAGTAAGCATGAAGTTTCCCACCTTTTTCAACCTACCTAGGTAATAGAATTTTTAACGTTTCATTTTCGTTTATAGTATTTCAAATCCAAGGCCATGGTAATACTCAAGTGATACAATGAACATGCTCTATCCTGACAGCATCCATTAAAACAAGCGAACGACCAAGTATGTCGCCAAGAACATCTCGTTGGACATTCCACATGCACTTCACTCGCAATTACTGCCTCCTCTGCAGAATTATGAAAGTTTGCGCGCACTAGTGGTGAAGCATCTAGGCGTTTGCTCATTGCAAATCTTCACTTTCACCTTGAAGTGAGTGCACTAGCACCACTCACCTTAAGGTCATAGCCAGCGCGCTGATTTCCTCAACCCTCCATCGCTCGCAAAGCTCCCACATCAAGGCAAGACGCGGGATTCAGTGGATTGTGTTGCGAAAATGGCGACTCGAAGCACTTCGAACGCGACTGAATCCAATCCATCCAAAAAGGCACTGTTCTTCGGGTGAGTGTATTCGTTGCTCATGCTCGCACTTGAGACACCTAAGTCTAACAATACTTTAGAACCAGCGCGAAACAGGGTTTCGTCATCGTAAAGGTTGGATCAGAGAAAGTCCAATATGACGTACACAAGACTTTGCTCAAACACCACTCCGAGTACTTCTATGCCGCTCTTAATTGTTCATGGAAGGAGGCAGAAGAAAACTCAATCACCCTCAACGATATCGACCCGGAGACTTTCGAAGTTTTCGTTCACTGGCTATACATTCAGAAGATTGCAACAGAAGGAGAAGTCGACGACATGCTCGAGACCTACCCAAGCGACGAACATGACGACGATCCGTACATCACTGTTCTGACAAAAGCGGTTGTATTTGGTGACAGGTTTCTAGTCCCCGATTTTCGCAAAGCTGCACAAAACCACATTGTTGAATCCATTCTTTATCAAGACAAAGTCCGCCAGCCCGCTTTTCTCTATGCCAGCAAGTATGCTTTTGAGAACTTTTCAGAAGATCATCTCCTTTGCGAATTCTTCATCTCTGTGCATTCTCGCTTTATGAAACATACAGAGAAATACATGGATGACATTATCACTTGATGGTTCAAGGAAAATCTGCCACGAACATTCCTTGTTGAACTCATAGGAAAGTCCAGTAGTATGGTTTCGGAGCAGAGCCTGGACTTAAGTCGTTCTGATTACGCCAACTACTGCGTTTACCATGAGCATAAAGATAACCATAAGCGAAGAGTATGTAAGCAGGGAAAAGAGGTTGCTTGTTCCATCGAAGGGCCTGGGCGTAGTAGACGCAAAATACGCGTTGAATAGTGCAGTGAAGGAGATACGGAAGGAATACCTCAACACAGAGCATTCAGGGGCATGAAAACTCGTTGAGGATGTATCAGGGAACACATGGGTAGGTTGAATCGAAAGCCTAACATTTTCATGCTTTCACAGATGTATCTTAGAAACGAGTAGAGAATCCAGAGGGTAGAAACTACATGCACTGCCGCAATCTGCTTTTCGGACGTGTCACTATCGTGAACCATCGCAATCATGTATATACTCAACCCGTTGTCCATCCCAATAACAGGACCCGATTACGTGACAGAAACTCTAGACAGATTTTCTTCCACGAACAAGCATTTCATTTTGACAAACTGCTACCCAAGTTTCATGCCGTTTCCCACCACCTACATATCATATGACTGATGGCCCGATACATGATGTAGATAAATGACAATTTAATCCTTGTTACACCCAACCTAAAGTTGCCATATAAGAAATTGCAAAGAAAGCGAACTGTTTATTACAAGATACCCACGCAAATTGACCTAGTAAGCAGTTGTCTAGGAGAAAATAAATTACAGTAACTACATTACTTCCAAACCCAGTGTCATCCAGAATAAGCTTACCCCATAACAACCCACAAACGAAATTATGAGAAAGCAAACCTAGAGAGATTCAGACATCTAAACCCCACCAAAAATGCCCGGGACATTATTCGAGATGCAGAAAGCGCATAAGATTAATTTCCACACAATCTATCATGCTACCTCAACCCCATGTTCTTGAATCCCCAGCCTCAAACTCACATCAACGGTATAATATGCACAGACCTAATAATGGGTCCCGTCCACATAATCGTACTCGTCCTCGTTCTCGTCCTCGTTCTTGTACTCATCCTCGTTCTCGTCCACATAATCATACTCCTCCTCATAGTACTCCTCCTCATCCTCATCGTCCTCGTCATGGTACTCCTCGTCAGCCATGTCCATCCCCCAGTAAAGCTGCACGACAGGGATAGCGCTGGGGGCCACGGGAGCTTGGGAAGTCTCAGTGCCATCTAGACTTTTCCACCCGTTCATATCGGCGTCAGACTTCTCATCACCTTCGGAACTCTTGATGTCATCATCCTCATCCTCAACCTCATCCTCCTGCTTTTCCTCATTCTCCTGCTCCTGCACCCCCAACGCCTTCAAAACCCGCTCCATCTCAACCATACTATCAAGCCTCAAATCAACCATATCCATAATAGCCTTCTCCGACTCCCTCTGCTCCTCATCCACATCCTCATCATCCTCATCATCATTCTCCCCCGCCTTCGCCTTCCACAACTTGATCACCAGTTTGTGATTACTCGCCTTGCACTCCGCAAGCTCAATCGTCAACTTCTGAACCTCGCCCTCAAGCTCCCACTTCTCATCCCATAGCAAATCTTGATCATCTTCCAGACTCTCAATCTTAGCTTGCAACTTGTTGACGTCGTACTTCAGGTTCTCATTGAGCGAGTCGAGCTCGCGGTTCTCGGCGTGAGTTGCGGTCAGAGCGGATGACATGGCGGCGATTTGGTGCTCCATGGTGGTGTGCGTGGAGTGGTACATGCTGTACCAGGCTTCGCAGCGCTGGCGCATCTGGGTGACTTGGTCCTGGAGGTTGCGCGTCTCGGCCATGGTGACGGAGCTAGTGGAGAGGGATTGACGGATCCAGGATTGGTGCATGAGGGCTTCTTGCTTGCGATGTTCTTCAGAGGTATCGAGGCAGGACTGTAGGTGGTGCACTTTGATCTGGAGGGTTGTGAGGCCAGTGGTCTGCGATTCGATTGTCTTGTGCGTGCTGTCAAGTTCGGCGAGCGTCGAGTCGAGCGTGTTTCGCAGGGTGCTCAGCTCCTTGCGGGCGTTGCTGTACGTGACTCGCTCTCTGGTAAGCTTTTCAATGGCGTCCTGTTGCCCCTTCTGAGCTGCCTCGAGGGCCTTGCGTGTTTCATTGCGTGTGTTTAAGGCTTCTAGCAGTTGAGTTTCGGCAGCGGAGAGGTCGTCCTTCATTTCTGAAAGGCGAGATCGAAGCTTTGTCACCTCCGCAGATGCGTTGCGATATTCTGTCTCGTAATCATATGAGGCGTGGACTGCCATAAGCTCCTCCATCATTATTATTAAAGGGACAAAAACGCCGATTAGAATGCCAAAAACCGCTCCTAGGGCAAGGTCTTCAAGCGTGACCATCTTTTCTTTGACGAGGTCGGATTTTGTTTTGAGGGTGATGTCGGACTGGAAGCGTGCTTTCTTCGTCTTGTTGCTGGATCTGTGTTGTAGTTAGTTGTTCGGAAAGAATACGGGGATGCAATCCAATTTTAATGTCTATGAAAACATGATGCAAATAACCAGTGGGATGGTACTTTGGTTAGGACAAGGCAAGCGATCAGCTGCCCATGGTCAATAATTCTTGCGCCAACCAACAATGAATCCTGTGTATGTGGCTACCGCAACCATCGTGTCAAAGATAGGCGGGGTTCTGGTTCGCAAACGAGACCAATCTGATACATTAAGGCGTTGGTAATTGGCCTAGATGTAGGCAGTATGGCTATGCACTAACCACGACCATGGGTACCAGTGTGATCATGTACATATCAGTATTATGGCCGCAGCCTTCAAATGTCATCGCATGTGTAGGAGGAAGAGTTACCACGCATTTTTTTTCACGAACCACGGTATCCAGTTAGGTGAACTAGGGACGTCATCGAAATCGATAGTCTTATTTCTGGCTAAAAAACCTATACTTTTATGATCAAGCTCATCAACATGAAGCAAACCATAGGCCTGCGTGGGCGAATGGAAATGATACATGGAGGCTAGTTTCTGTTTTCTACGCATCCTTACTCATTGAGCTCGACGTAGTTGGCAGGGAAAAGACCCGATTGGCCGTTGAAGCTGCCGAGCCACCAATCCTCGTCGGGGAATTCCTAATGGCACCTGTTAGCATATATTCGAACAGTAGAAACAGCAGAGCCGATATCACTTACCAGACCGGTGATGGTAGCTCCTTCAGGGAAGCTCAGTTCGTTGTCCTCTGCGGCCTCATAGTCGTAGAGAGCAGTCGCGGTAGGACCTGAACCACCAGCAGCCTGGGGCGCCACAGCAGGCTCTGGCTCCTGCACTGCTGAGGGATGCGTGGGTGGTGGCGGTGCAGCTGCAGCACCAGCATCACCACCCTCAACCAGCTCGACGTAGTTGGCAGGGAACAGACCACGCTCGCCTTGCGAGTTGGTGCCCATCCACCAATCCTCGTCTACCATGTCGATGTCGGTGACATATTCGCCATCACGTAGCTCCACCTCGTTATCTTCGGCCTTTTCATAGTCGTACAGGATGACTGCACGCTTTCCAGAGCCGCCTGCGGCCGCCGGCTCATCGTCATCGTGACTAGCGGCAACAGCAGCGGCGCCAATAGCAGCACCACCTACTGCAGCAGCGCCAAATGTGGCAGCAGCAACAGCAGCACCGGCACCACGAGCGGGATCCTTGGCCTCAACCTTGGGCTCGGGTGAGATGTCACGGGCCTGCTGGGCTGCTTGATCCAACGAACGAGTAGGCATAGCTGGTGCCTTTTCCTCTGCAGGAGCAAGTTCTTCTGGCTCCCTTCCACGTGCAACGGGCATGGCGATGCGTACAGGTGAACCAGAAGGCTCAGGAGATGGGCTGCGGGGCCGCCGAGGCGGGGACGGCAGACGCTGGTGCTGAGTTGCGGGAACTTCCTCCTTTTCCTCTTCTGGTTCTGACTCTGGCTGCTTAGGTCGGCTGGGAAGGCCGGGCAGAGAAACACCGCCCCTTATGCCTGCGTTGGGTTTGCTCGAGTTGTCAAGAGGCGGTGGGCTATCAGCCGCCACAGGCTCAGGCACAGGACGAGAGCTTGGGGCTCCCATTGGGGCAGCGCCTGAGAAGCGGTCCTTGAGGGAGTTTACACCTCCAGAAGGAGAAGTGGGTTCTTCTGCTTGCTGTGGTGGTGGCGAACCTCCCGTCCGCTGCTCGTTGAGGTTGGCAGTACCTGATGGGCCTGTTCGGGTGGTCTGTACGGGCGCCCATGATTTGCCAGAGTAACCGCTTTGCCAGCCACCACCTCCACTCGGCTGGCTTTGGAGGGGGTTAGGACGACTTGCAGCGTCGGGAGCAGGTGCTGAAATAGATTCGCCGCGGGCTGCCTTCTTCTCAGCCCAAATTTGGGCAGGTGTCTTTCCACCCTCATCAGCGAATGTCTTGCTCGCTGCGCCGACGATGGGCGCAGGGACTGCGGGCTTTGCACCAAAACCTCCAGGCGTGGGAGCCTTTGTGCCTGTGAATGCGCTGGCGCCGGCGAACTTATTGGCAACCTTGGGCTTGGGCATGCTAGTAAGGCGTTCGGGCTGCGACTTGAAGGCTGCGGACCTTTCGGCGAGCGACTTTGGCGTCTCATCTTCCTCTTCCTTGGGAGGTCCAGGAGATGGGGGAGCAGCTTGGGCCTTTGCACGAATGGCTGCGATGTCAACCTTGCCGACGGGCTCGTACGCGCCCTTGACTACAGTCGGTCGGTCGTCTTTGGCATCCTTTGCTTGAGCTCGGATAGCGGCAATGTCAACCTTTCCAACTGGCTGGTATGCACCCTTGACAACCTCGGGGCGGTCGTTTGACGAAGACTCGTCTTTCCTTGCGGTAAGCTCGGCCATGTTGACCTTGGTGGGCGTGTAGGCAGTGCCCACCTTCTCCAATTGCGACCTGGAGACGGGCGGGGCATCGGCGCCCCAGCCATCACGGTCTTCATCGGCCTTGGGAGCGGGCGCGCGCGAGCGT